TGTTTCTAGTAGCTTCTTGTTACTACTAGTAAGGCACTTGTTACTAGAAGCGATGCACTTGTTCCTTGTAGCTTCTTGTTACTACTAGTAAGGCACTTGTTACTAGAAGCGATGCACTTGTTTCTAGTAGCTTCTTGTTACTACTAGTAAGGCACTTGTTGACAATTTGCAGTTCTGAGAAGCATGTTCGTGCTGCCCCACTTGCCGGTTCGTTAGGTGCACCTTTTGCCTCGAGTTTCCTTAGCGGAAAAGGGAGCGCTCGCATCAGCACGCGATGCGCTGAGTTGGCAGCGGAGCCTGCCGTAGGTTTTTCTTAGCTTCGCCATGCCGGTGGCTCGAGAGGTCTTTGGTGGCTCGGCGCCGGGCCCTGGACTTCACGCGCCGAGCAGCGTAGCTTGGCGACCTTCCCTGGGTTCCTCCCCGAGCTCGACAGGTTCAAGAGAAGCCCAGCACATGGCCCTCGACGCCGAGGATGACTGGAGATGTGCTGGCTGTGGTTCCATGAACTTCGCTTGGGACGAGGCTCACCGGACGTGGCGCTGCACTTCATGCCAGTCGACCTCCTTTGTTCAGGAGTTTGACGACCCGGCTGAGCCATGGTTAGATGATCCTAGTGACCTTCCATGGATGCATGAGCCCAACCTCCAAGCAGCACCAGGTTTTGCAGCTACTACATCGTCTACCTGTCCTACTCCCTGGCCCACGTCGCTCCCTGGTCGACTTCACCATGGACCTTACGGAGTACTTCAGGTACCCGAACTTGGACAACATGGATTACCAGTTCATGGATGCGCTGGTGCACTACACCCTGATCCTCACGGATTACCAGTTCATGGCATTCAGAACGACGAACGGCATCAGGGACAACAAGAACCACCAGCTCAGCAAGGGCAGCAACGCCCTACGGGACCATGCTCGTTTCTCTTTCCTCGAGCTTTCCGAGGTGATCCCGCCGACCACCAAGCACCAGGACCTCATCCACCTGACTTGGGTCCTCCTGGACCGCATGGCCGCGAAGGGGCCGAGAGCGAGACATCGACCTATGACCCGACTGTCACGGTGCCAAGCAGGCCACCAAGTGCAGCTGGGCGGGCATTCGCTCAGCATGCAATATAAACCACGCAGCCGGTTCAGCCTGAGGCCAAGGCTACATCCGCTGCTGCGCCGACCCTACCATCAGCTTCGAGAAGGAGAAGGCGACGAAAGGGTGGACAGCCTGATGGCACACCACCTCTCGGCGGAGACCCGCCTGATGAGCCTCATGATGATCCTGGACCACCAGATCCACCGATTCCGGCACCTTCAGATGACCATGGACGGACCTCTTCTTCATCCACATGGAACAGCCTGAAGGGACCGATGCACGGCATCAAGTTTCGAGGCGGACAGCCTCCAGTGCCTCCCCAATGGCACTACGACAAGAATGACTTGGCCGCCTTCCGAAAATGGACGAGGCGCATAGAAATGTGGCAGCTCCAGGTCATCAACTACGTTCCCAAGAAAGAGGC